CAGCTTATGTTGTCTGCGGATTCGGATCACTGTTTTGTATGCTGATTTCAGTTCTCCTGAGAGGTACTTGTCTATCAGCCAATGTGAGGAGCTGTCAAAGTTTGGATCTGGTGTCCTTAGGTAGTTGGTTGATCAGAGGCTGTCTGTAGACCACCTCCTCTTGTCAGCTATTTTGCAACCTTGTACTTGCCTGGTCTTACTCCAGAGTCTTCTGTAGAGTCTTTAGGGTGCAGGGTGGCTAGTGTAGCTCAGGGNCCAGAGTCTTCTGTAGAGTCTTTAGGGTGCAGGATGGCTAGTGTAGCTTGGGATATTGCTCCCCTTACTTAGAAGTTTCACTGTCAAGCACTCACTGTGAGGGAGTTAGTCTCTGCTCCACAGCCAGCTCCTCAGTCTCTACCTTGTCCTCCAATTCTAGTTACCCATACACTGACCTGCTGCAGTTTCAGATTGACTTCAGCCTGTTGCCTTTTCTGTATGGGCAGTTTCAGCAGCCTGAGCTCAGTGGGTTGGATTAAAAAACATTCTGGTGAGCACTTTGCCTGCCCAGCACCCAGAAGCGGTTTTCAGCTTTTCCTCCAGTTCCCAAACAATAGTCCCTGAGAATCTTATTCTTGTAGTGTCCTCCTGTGAGCTGTTCTCCCTTCCCCCTCAGGACTGTGTCCTGCGGGAGGTATCTTGGGCTTCTGTGAGCTGAACCAGTTCTTTTCCTTTTGGGGTGGTGCTCCTAGCCTGCAGGAGAGGCAGGTGTCTCGGCCTCTCCTTCCCAGACCTGGTTGCTAGGTCGCACCAGGTGCACACCTCAACACTGCTATGTCGACCCAAATCCCAGCTTCCACTGGCCTGTCTCTCTAAAACAAAGCAGGAAGGTAGACCCCCATTCAGCAGTCAAAAACTCAAAAACGCACAAAGCAACACACAAGCAGAGAATATGCCCTGCAAAGCCCCAACACTCCTGCACCAAGGCACCCAGCAAGAGTGGACACAAAGTCAGCTCCATGCAACTCCCCTGCATAGCTGATCTCAGTAAAGCTGGGGTGGCTCCATGTGAGCCGCCATGGGAGCTCAAGGTGGGAGGGTTCCCTTCCCCTTCCCCATGTCACACAGATTAAATGCTTTCTGGGGCTCAACATAATGCCTTATAAAGAGGCAGAAGGTCCCTGTATGTGGCTGCTCAATGCAGACCTCTGGTCCCTTACTACTCGGGTGCCCCAAACTTTGGGGCAGCCTCTCCTATGGTCAGCACCCTGAGCATAAGATGCTGGTCGTGGCTGCCATTAGAAGCTTTGTTTCACTAAGAAGGCACCATCCCCTCCTCTCAGGCACACTGTTTTCCTGTGTCCCTCTGCCCACCCTGCACAGGCTTTCCTTCCCTTCTCCTGTGTTCAGGACTTGAGATCCCTGCTTTTGGATGCCAGTCTGCATTCCCAAGGGGAGGGAGCTTTGCAACCTCTAAGACTCAGGAGCTCAGTACCCAGCACAGGCTTCAGGAGGGACTCCCCCTTTCTACACACCCTTTGTCTTACCAGACTCTATGATGTTTCTTTAGTGCCTCCTACTCAAAACATGTCCACTCGGATAGATTTCCCTGGTTTTCCTCAGCTGGTTATGTAGTATTTTAAAAGTAAATAGAGCCTGTGGCTGGGAGAGGGGGCACTCTGCTTCTTCTCACAGTGCTGCCATTTTCCCTCTTCCAACCCCTATGTTTTCAATATGATGCTCCAGACCTCCATTGTATTTGGGAACTCCCAGTCCAGAGTCCCTCTGCTTTACCCTCTCCAGGGAATAACACACCAAGCTTCTATCAGGTCAGGGAAGTGTCAGACCCTCAGTGTAGAAGGGGATTTCTATATGCTTCTACTTCTTAAACGGTTTTCAAGCCGCCCCATTATTCTTGTGCCAACCCCCTTTACCTCCACTTCCAGAGTTACCTTTTGCAGTCTCTGAAGATTCTTCTGGGGGGGTGGATGGCAGTAGTAAATCAGGATGGTTATTGGCTTTTCCTACTTAAGGCTTAGGATTCTTAGTTTGTGACCTTGGGTTTGCTAAGTCAATTATTATTCATCTACCTCTTTTTCAGCATTCAAAATTTAGTTGTCTCCTTTCCTGCTTTTTCAATCTTTTCAAATATCATTTTATAGTAGTTTCAGTTGGTTTGGGGGAGTTGGTAAAGTCATATGTGGAAGTATGTGTTCCACCTCAACTCTATAGCATGGTGGGCAAGGAGGTCTGCCTGCCTGCCTCATTCACTTGCACCTTTTTTACCAAGCCACTCTCCCTAAAATACTCCTGATGTAGATTGTCTCATCAGGCCCTTTGATTTATTCTGTGACCTTTTTTCCCTTTCAGTTCTCAGCCCCAAGACTGTGTACTCCAAACCAACTTCTTAACCATAAACCCTCAGGCCATGCTTGAAGTTCAGGTGGCTTGCCAATACATTTGCACTTCACAATCTGCCTACTCTCTCTCACCTCTGTCATTTCCACACACTTTCCCAGTTCCGAACTGCCGGAGCCTGCCGGCAGTCGAACGGGAACCTGATTGAGGGGGTGAGGATTGGAAAAGAAAGACAAGAGACAGGATGGGATCGGGAGGGCTGCAGCTCATTCCTGTTGCCAGCTGCCAGCCCCGAGTTTATTTTCTCCGCTCAATATATACAGGCACTGTTGATTGTGCTGAATAGCACCCTGCCCCACATTTCTTCCCTTAGCCCGATACTAAGTAATTCCTCCAAGGCCCTACGAATGCCTTTTCAGAGTAAACACCCTGCCTCCTGCAGGAGCTCAGGCCTTGGAAAGTATCCTTATCTCGGCTTCTAATGGGAACTTTTGGGGAGGATAGAGTCCTTGGCTTGGTATGTGGCTTAACTATCCTTTAACCCTTCAGGCCGGGGCCAGCTTCCTAATTAGCCTTTCTAGAATCTAGTGTTGCTTTGGTGCCTCAAGGACTGGGTCAGGGAGCAGGAGGGCACCTCTGCAGCTCACCCAGGCAGCTCCTCTGTGCCTGGGGCCACTAACTCATCCACATCTCCCTGGGGAAGCATTTTCCACTGATACCGTTGCATGGGTCTCTGCAAATTGATAGCTGGGACACTGAATGCAAACCGTTCCCTGTCCCTCGGATGGAGGGGGAGCGGGGGGAGCAGGGCGAGTGCTAGCACCGCTGCCCACCACTCGGGTCAATGCCTCAGAGATTTCTCTCTTGATGGCACTAGGGCAAGCGGGCCTCCCGGGTCTTTCTCCCTGGGCAGCACCTCGCCCGGCGGGTCCTCCCGGGGGGAGTCCCGCCGGCTCCCCACATCTCCCCCTTTTTTATTTTTTAAATATAAGGTCTAGGCTCAAGCGGGGCAGGACGGGTGCGTAGTTGCAAGGCGTGGAGTCCTACTCTAAGATTTTGTACATCTTTCAGCAATGCTCTAAGAATGCATGGGGTAAGCAGAAAACCTAACAGGACGATGGCAGCCAGACCAGCCATTCCTATTATACCATGTCTCCAGTCACTGGCTGAGGGAAATTCTTTCCTCAACCCTTCCACCCAAGACTGAGCCAACTCAGCTGTGGAGGTATCTATTTTCGGGGCTTCTCTCAGAGCGAGAATCTCCTGATGTAGCTGCTTTAAGTCTAAGGAGACATTTCCATCATGCCATATCCCCTCCAGGTGTCTCTGCACTCGATCCCAGGGGTGGGTGGACTCATTGTACTTCTTGCGGGTAACACATATGTGCTTATAATCTGCATGGCAGTCAAGATCTAACCGCAGCTTCAAACTCTGTACCTCTCTTCCCAAGATCGACACAGTGTCGTATAAGGCATTCAACCTTTCTTCTACTTTTAAGTCAATGGCCTCTTGTGTTCCCAGCGCTTGGGTGATATTAGCGCTGAGCTGATTGACATGGTGAGCAGTTTGAATACTTTGAGAGAGGGATACGGCCGCAGTGACGCTGGCTGCTATCACTGAAATAAGGGTAGCTATGCCAGCGATAAGCAGCCCAATAAATCTCTTTCCTCTTAGCATCATCTCAGTGACCTGCCGGATTACTTGCAAGCCTCGGTCATTGTACCATTCCCCTGAGACTTTGACAGGGATCATTACAAATGAGGGCTGATACAGAATTAGGAGTTGCTCATCCTGAGATATGTTATATACACAAGTGCTAAGGGTACAGTTATGGCATGCAATAGTCCACCAGGATCCACTCCGTGAAATATTAAGTGACCCCACAAGAAGAGCATAAGGCTCGGGAACGCAGGCCTGCACCTTTCGGTAGAATTGTGTGGTGCCCTCTTGTACAGCTGCATTGCCCCGTTCCTCATTCACCATGATGTCCCCTCCCATTGCTGCCGTAAGTCTCCATAGCTGAGATTGCATTGGCCCTTTCTGTACTGACCAAAAGGACTCGGCCAGCGCCTTCCATCTTGGGCCCTTAGCTGACCAGTCCTGTAGCGGGTATCCCCTTGTCACATTAATCAATATACTATTTTTCCCCCGGCAGCTCAACCAATGCGGCTGCTGGGTGCGGTTGACAACGTCAGCCTCACATATGGAGATCTCCCCAGGGGGGGCTCCAGAAGGATGGCCTGCGGCATTCCCAGTAGGGTACCAGATGTCCACGTACCACCGCGTCCAGTCCAGAGCTGATTGAACCCAGGTCCTCGCCGTCCCGTTGACATAAAAAACCCCTGTCGTAGTAGGCAGGAGCGACTCGATTTTAGTAGTTTTAAGCAAAAAACAACCGGCTACCTGGTCAGTTCGTGAGAAACAAATAGGCTGGTCACTAGCGTGTCCTGAATAAGAAAAGTCCGGAGCGCGCGCTGCTCGCAGGTGCCTGCTGGAATGGCCCCCCATGGTCCATGTGTCGTTGGTGTACACAGGTACCTCTCCATGCTGCCACGTCACTGGCTGCAGCAGAGGTGGGTTAGGCAGGTAGGCCCAGTGAGTTTCTGCTCTAGCCCCAGGGGCCGCGGCAAGCAGAGCCAGCATTGCCAGGAATAGAGTTTCGGGCGTGACAGTCATGCCTTGCCCTCTGATGAGTTGCTCTGCGCGTTGTTGTGCCCGCCAGGCTCTTCGCCGGGCTCTTCGCGACTGACGCTCAGGGTTCATTGTTAGCTCCTGCATCCGTTCCTCTAGCGTCTTGGGCCGCGTGTCGTACCAGCCTCTCCGGGAGCCACCTCGGCGTCTCGGCATCCTGCGGGAAAACACAAACATGCCCTCTTCCCCAGATTAATACCGGATCTGGCCCGTGCCACGTACCCTCAAGGGGGTCCTTCCACCTGACCATGGCTTTATCTTGGGGAACAGCCTGCTGCCAAAACCTTTGCGCAGCAGAACGACCTTTCTCGTCCAAAATTAAGAAATTAAGAATAAATAAAGCATGGTTAAGTTGATTTTGCGGGATTAAGGGGTACAGCTCCCCCTTTTTAATTTTTTGCAATTGATTTTTTAGCGTGCCATGGGCTCGTTCAACAATACCCTGTCCTTGAGGGTTATAAGGAATGCCTGTCTTACTCTGAATGCCCAATTGCATACAAAAGGCTTGAAACTTTTTGCCTGTGTAGCCCGGTCCATTATCTGTTTTAATAACCCGGGGCTGTCCTAGGACAGACATGCTGCGCAAGCAATGGGCAATGACGTGGGAACTGGATTCCCCTGTGAGGGCAGAGGCAACAAGAAACCCTGAGTAGGTGTCAATAGTAACATGAACATACCGTTGCTTACCAAAACTAGGCACATGTGTTACATCCATCTGCCACAGATGATTGGGCAGGAGACCTCGAGGATTGACTCCATAGCTAGGCACGCTGGTTAAAGTAGGACATGTGTGACATTCCTTTACTATCTGTCTGGCGGCCTCTCGGGGAATGTTAAACTGCAGCCGAAGAGACTGGGCATTTTGATGGTGGAGAGCATGAGCCGCCCGAGCTGCAGGCACCCCAACTAAATACACTTTAGTGGCCAAATCAGCTTGGCAGTTTCCATGGGATAAGGGCCCAGGTAAGTTGCTATGGGCCCTAAGATGCCCAAAGTAGCATTGTTGGGTACGATTCAGGATGGCAGCTTGGATGGCTATAAACAGTTGTTGCACAGTGGAATTAGTAGTGCCAATGAACGGGACAGTCTCAATAACAGAGAGGCTTCTGACTACATATTGACTATCAGAGAAAATATTTAGAGGTTCATTGGCCACATCTAAAAGTACCCGGTGTACTGCTGCTAACTCTACCTCCTGGGCAGAGGAATATGGGGTCTCCCACCGTGTAACCTGGTGCCCACGCACATAGGCTGCAATGCCAGAGGACGACCCGTCAGTGAACACAGTAGCGGCTCCGGGCAGTGGAGTAGCAGATACCATCCTTGGAAAGATAATCGAATGTTTCAGAAAGAATTGCAGAAGCTTGTCTTGGGGATAATGATTATCAATTTTTCCAGGAAAGCCAGCCAAGGCTATTCCCCAGGGATCACAAGTTTGGAATAACCAGGTGACCTGTTCTCGTGTATATGGCACCAGAATGCTTGCAGGGTCCCTGCCAAAGTAGCGGCGGGACTCTTCCCGAGCCTGTTGAATAAGGACAGCAACAAGTTCATAATAAGGGGCAAGGACCCGGGCAGGGGAAGCAGGGAGGTGCACCCACCGTAGTGGCCGGTCTTGCCATAAAACAGCAGTAGGGGAATGGCCCGTGGCCAAAATGCAGGCCTGCCAAGGTCTACTATAGTCACAAAATGTTGCCTGCTGCCTGCGGATAGCTTGCTCCACCCTCCCAAGGGCTTCACGTCCCTCCGGGGTCAGCTGTCTAGCGGATGCAGGATCTGCATCCCCCTTGAGAATGTCAAACAATGGTTTGAGCTCCCCTGTAGTTAACCCCAGATAAGGTCTAATCCAGTTGATATCCCCCAGCAACTTTTGAAAATCATTCAAGGTCTGGAGCTTGTCTAGCCGAAGGTGAACTTTCTGACAGAAAAATCGGTCAGGCTCCAGATGAAAACCAAGATAAGAAAACGGGGGCTGCCTCTGGACCTTTTCTGGGGCTACGACCAGGCCTTGTTTTTGCAAGTCAGATTCCATTTTCGCAAATGCCCGGAGGAGCAGTCCCTCATGGTGAGCGGCAATGAGGATGTCATCCATGTAGTGACAGACGTACACTGCTGGGTACTCACGCCTTACCCGAGCTAGGGCCGTTGCCACAAATTTTTGACACAGGGTCGGGCTATTGGCCATTCCCTGAGGCAGCACTTTCCAGTGATATCGCTGCATAGGCTCCTGAAAATTTACTGATGGTACGCTAAAGGCAAACCGTGGACAGTCCCGGGGATCAAGGGGAATAGTATAAAAACAGTCTTTCAGGTCAATAATAATCTTATATGTATCACGGGGTATGGCCGCAGGTGAAGGCAAGCCTGGCTGGAGGGCCCCCATGAGCTCCATGGTCTCATTCACCTTCCTAAGATCCTGGAGTAATCTCCATTTCCCTGACTTCTTCTTGATCACAAATATAGGTGAATTCCAGGGAGAATTAGACGGCTCAATGTGGCCCTGTTGGAGCTGCTCCTGCACCAGCTCCTGGGCAGCCTTTATTTTTTCAGTAGTCAGGGGCCATTGATCTACCCATACAGGAAGATCTGACTTCCAGGTAATTTTATCGGCATGGGTAGCAGGAGAGTCAAAGGCCCCTCCTAAAAATACCCCAGGCCAGCGCGGCCTGGTCGGGGCAGGGATTGTAAGGGTTCAGTAATGCCCTGCCCTTCTCTTCCTAATCCTTGAGCGGGGAGGAGCCCCTGGTCGAGTAGCTGCTGCGTAACTGCCGGACTCGAGCTGTGTATATACACCCCCATGTGCTTCATGACATCCCTCCCCCACAGATTCACAGGTAAGTCAGATAAGACATAGGGCTGAAACTCTCCTTGATGTCCCTCATCATCTCGCCAGCTTAAGACCGCCGAACTAATCTTCGGAGTCCGACTTTGACCGATACCTTGCAGGTCGGTCATTGCTGGTTGAATAGGCCAGTTGGCAGGCCAATGTTTCAAGGAAATAACTGAGACATCCGCCCCAGTATCTAGTATACCCCTAAAAGCCTTCTCATTGATCCAAAGTGTCATCTCCGGCCGATCTTTCTTAATGGGCTGTACCCAGTAAGCATCAGAAGATCCGAAACCCTGGGACCCGCGAGCCTTATTCGTCCTGACTTTTCCCTGTTCTACCAGCGGCAACAAAATANTCTTATTCGTCCTGACTTTTTTCTGTTCTACCAGCGGCAACAAAATAAGTTGGGCAATTCTCTGACTTTTATCTACTGTCACCACATTGTGAGGAGCATGAGCCATAACCTTCACCTCTCCGGTATAATCCTGATCTATGACTCCAGGGGCCACTAACAANTTATGACTCCAGGGGCCACTAGCAATCCTCTCAGGGTACTACTGCTACGTCCTAAGAGGAGTCCCATAGTTCCTGCGGGCGGGGGGCCGTAGACCCCAGTAGGCAGAGCCTGTATTCCCATGGCCGGGGTCAGTACTGTGTAGGCGGCGGAACTGAGGTCCAGTCCGGCGCTCCCTGGGGTGGCTCGGAAGAGGTCACAAATGGATTGCTTCCCGGGGTTTGCCCCTGGGGCTCCCCCTTCAGAGCCCCATATGTTTGCGGGGCCTGGGGCTGGCCCCTCTGCCAGTTTCCCGACTGCAGGGGGAGGCTAAGGGGCCGTCCCTGCAGATCAAGTTTCGACTTGCAGTCCCGGGCCCAGTGATTTCCCTTTTTGCATCTCGGACAAAGCCCCGGAGATGCTCCACGGGGCGGGCCCGCGGGAGCCCTCTGATTACTGGAGGGTTTCTGGGGGCAATTTCGAGTGAAATGCCCAAGCTGACCGCAGGAAAAGCAACTCCCGGGGGGCCCGGGGACTCGTCGCCCCCTGCCTCGCCCAGCCCCCTGCTGCTGTAGGAATTGTTGCATAGTCTGACCTCTCAAGGCGGCTGCAAGAGTGACTCCGGTGGTATAAGAGGGCCCTATATCCTGACAAAGTCTAATGTAATCATTCAGAGACCCCTTATGCCGATAAGGCCGTAGGGCTGCTTGACATGCAGTATTAGCATTTTCAAAAGCTAATTGCCTCACAATGATTACCCCAGCCTCCCCGTCCCCTATCAGTTTCCCTGCGGCATCAAGGAGCCGGGAGACAAAGTCCTGATAAAGCTCATCGGGGCCCTGCCTTATTTTAGTCAAATCCATGGTTACATTTTTTGTGTTAGGCAATTTTTTCCAAGCCTTCCTGGCCGCGGCAGAAATTTGGGCATAAGTCCCCATCCCAAACTGTAACTGGGCAGGAGTGTCTGCAAATTGCCCCTCTCCAAGCAGGCCTTGCAAATCGGAGGGAATGTTATTCCTCACATTTAGCCGATGGACCTTTTCACACTGCTCCGTATACTCAGATTTCCACAGCAAGTAATCTCCTCCCGACAAGCAAGCGCGCGCTAATTGTTTCCAATCATTGGGGCACATGGTATATTCTGTATCTAAAGCCTCCAAAATAGCTTCTGTATAAGGAGCAGTGGGCCCATACTGAGCACAAGCCATCTTCAGCTCTTTCAATTTCTTAAAATCCATGGGCCCATACACTCTCTGCGGGGAGTTGTTCCCTTGAGCTGGCTGTTCAAATACTGGATAGCACATTGCTGATTCTGAATCGAACCCCTCTAGATCTTCCCCTCTCAGTCTGGCCTGGCTAAGCGCCATTTGAAAAGAAGACATTGGCGCAAAGTCAGTTCGTACCCTCCCCCACCCAGGGTCCCGGGCCTGACCCGGTCCTTTTTGAGCCAGAGCGATCATAGTTCGCTCCTGAGGATCGAGGACACGAACTCCTATTGGCATCCCAATCCCGGGTCCTGCACTCAGTGTGGAAACAGTCGGCTTCTCCCCTGGGTACCCTGGAGGGTCCTCTTCTAGATCTATTAACAGGGGGTCAGCCCCTTTCGGATGCGCACTAGGCTGACCTTGTGAACCTTCAGCGTCCTTTCCCTTCACTGATTTATGCAAATCCTGAACTTGGCTCATCAACGCCTGCATTTGCTTCCACAGGCCCTCCATTGTAGGATCAGGGGGCAACGGGTTATGCTTGTCTGCGCATTCTTCCGAGAGAAACACAAACTCCCCATATTTTTCCTTCTCATAGGCCGCGGCAGCTTCATCTAAGTCCTGTTCCTCTTTCGGATTCAGCCTCTCGGGTTTAACAGTGAGGAGCTGTATCGGGGGAGCGGAGGCTTCGCCCTCAGCGTACGAGGCTCCTGGAGCCTCTACCGGCGTGGCCTCAGAAGAAGCCCCCATGCGCACTCCTTCATGCCGGGGGTCAAGGCAGTCTCGGACCAAGGTCCAGAGTGAGAAGGCCTCTACAGGCACCTTCTGGGGGCCGTGTGCCTGGAAAAAACCCTGCATACGCCTTCCCACTTTATTCCAAGTTTCCAGATTAACAGTGCCCTCCTCAGGAAACCAGGGGCACACTTCCTCCACAAACTGCAAAAAGTTCCGCAGTTGGGCAGTACTAACCTTGGCGCCCCTAGAACGGAGCATAGTTTTCAAAACCTGTGCAAACAGCACCTTACTATTTTCCTGGCCCATGATTTCTTACTCCCGATATACTGACCGCTCCCTCCGGCTATCACTTACCCGATAGCTATCCGCGCGGCCCCGAGCGGTGTCCTCTACCGTGTTCCCAGGTTTTCAGGTCCCTGTTCGGGCGCCACTTGCCGGAGCCTGCCGGCAGTCGAACGGGAACCTGATTGAGGGGGTGAGGATTGGAAAAGAAAGACAAGAGACAGGATGGGATCGGGAGGGCTGCAGCTCATTCCTGTTGCCAGCTGCCAGCCCCGAGTTTATTTTCTCCGCTCAATATATACAGGCACTGTTGATTGTGCTGAATAGCACCCTGCCCCACATTTCTTCCCTTAGCCCGATACTAAGTAATTCCTCCAAGGCCCTACGAATGCCTTTTCAGAGTAAACACCCTGCCTCCTGCAGGAGCTCAGGCCTTGGAAAGTATCCTTATCTCGGCTTCTAATGGGAACTTTTGGGGAGGATAGAGTCCTTGGCTTGGTATGTGGCTTAACTATCCTTTAACCCTTCAGGCCGGGGCCAGCTTCCTAATTAGCCTTTCTAGAATCTAGTGTTGCTTTGGTGCCTCAAGGACTGGGTCAGGGAGCAGGAGGGCACCTCTGCAGCTCACCCAGGCAGCTCCTCTGTGCCTGGGGCCACTAACTCATCCACATCTCCCTGGGGAAGCATTTTCCACTGATACCGTTGCATGGGTCTCTGCAAATTGATAGCTGGGACACTGAATGCAAACCGTTCCCTGTCCCTCGGATGGAGGGGGAGCGGGGGGAGCAGGGCGAGTGCTAGCACCGCTGCCCACCACTCGGGTCAATGCCTCAGAGATTTCTCTCTTGATGGCACTAGGGCAAGCGGGCCTCCCGGGTCTTTCTCCCTGGGCAGCACCTCGCCCGGCGGGTCCTCCCGGGGGGAGTCCCGCCGGCTCCCCACACCGAACCTCATAACTTTACTCCTTTTCTCTAAATATAATGTTGACTTATTTCAGACACAGGCTAACCCTGCCTTCCTATTCATTCAAATAATGATATTGGTGATGATGATAATTACTAAGTGCTGAATGTTTATTATGTGATGCTCACTATGGTAGACACTTTATACACATGACCTCCTTTCATTCTTCATCACAACTTTATCTGATAGATGGCATTTATTAGCCCCATTTTGTAGATGAGAAATAAGAGGCTCCAGGAGGGTGAGCAGCTTCCCAAAATTCACCAGGCTGGTAAGAAACAAAGATGGAATTCAAGCCCAGGTCAGCCCAAGCCCAGGTCAGCCCAAGCCCATGCTCTTCCTATGACACTATACTGTCTCAGTCAAGGCATCAGAGAGGAAACTGGAAAGAAGAATATGAGAGGATACTTAGTGCCTGAACTGGAAAGAATGGCCACCATCAATGGGACAAACAGTAGACCATGAAGAAAGATAAGACTAACAAAGAAACCTTCACTGACCTCACAGATTTGAATAGCATTGACCTTGTGATCTTCATTTGTGCACAGGATAAATTACTAGTAAGTTAGTACATCACTATTAATCAATATGACACACACCAACATGGCTTAAGATGATTTATCACAATTGTAAAAGATGCCTAATTTTTTTTTTTTTTTTTCAGAAAGAAAGCTTGAATTTCATTATTCAAGCTAAGATTTCATACTATTTTATAACCTGGCACAAAAATGAACAGTCATAGCAATAAACCTGAATCATCAAGAAAGAATCCAGTCATGTTTTGCACACCAAATTTAGGGAATTAGGGACGAGTGAAATCCACATAAAAAAATTTACATTGACTCCAAGATGGTACAGTGAGTTCATGCTATGGAAAGTTTGCCACTCTAAACACATGGCAATGATGGACAAAATACAAAAAGGTAAAATAAAAAAAGGAATGGCCAAGACAAAAAAAAAAAAAAAAAGATCATTATCTTAATGCTGAAATGGCAGACTTGCTAGACTGGAAGCAAATACTAATAGGAAGAAGTTAAGTTCCTGCAGAGTCTAACAGTCCAAAAGTACTCTGAGTAAGATGGAACACCAAAGCCAGGTTTATTGCTTAAAGCCAAAGACTACCCAAAACCCCACTAACCCCTGAATATATATATATGACAAAAAAAAAGAACTACTACCAAATATATCAGGGCCATTGGCTCTGGTGAGTTGCAGGCCTACAGAGTTAGTAAAGACAAATACATGGCCTGACATCACAACTAAGAGCTGAGCTAAGTAATCAGCTGGCTCTGAGTAGGTCTCCAATATGCCCAGGAGCTCTCTGGGGCAGTGATAAGAATATGTTTTGTAAGATGGTTTTAATCCTAACAACTCACTGGTATTTTGCAAGAGTACAATAAGAAGGAAAAAGTAATGAATATATTGATTTCCTTCTATCATAAAGCTTCTACCTTTGCAACAAGTAAAATTAGAGAAGTCGGAAAACACTTCTTAGAAAGTGGGATTTTTTTTGTTGATGTTTGCAAACTATTTGTAAAACTAACTGAGCTATTCTCATGGGTTTTCTATGAGATTCCCACAGACTTCAAGGCTTTTCCTTTAGTATTCCAACCAAACTCTCTCAGGAAGGATCAGAGAGAATCCAGAGAAATCTCCCCCACATTTATAACGGGGGAGACAATAGCTGCCACAAGAGGGCTGGCTAGGATCCCACAGGCAGCAGCTGAAGGTCCAGAGGGATATCTCAGTTGTGGGGGGTTCCCACTAACTCTGGGGTCTAAACTCCAAGCTGGGCTTCTCAGCCCAGAGGACCAGAATTGAGAAAGGTGCCCACATAATATCTGGCTGTGAAAAATCAGTGGAGTTTCTGCCTGCTAGGGAGAGGTGGCTGGAAATGCAGGCACCCTCTTAAAGGGCCAATGCACAAAGTTACCTGTGTAGCCACTCACCTTGGGCTTTGGTGGAGGGAGGGCAGAGTAGATTAGAGCTGTGTGATGAGAATCTAGGGATGCTGGCTCTGGGCATAGAGCTCAGAAGGCAGCTATCTGGGTTCCTGTGCTGAACCAATCCCCAATACTTCAGAGGACATCTTTCTTGGGCAGACATCTACCATCCGAGCAGTTTTATACTGGGGGGTGGGAAGCAAATGCCCCACCCTGTTGCAAAACTTCTTGCCCCACACTATGGAGATTCTACAGTCTGAGGCTCATTAAGAGATTGAATAACAATCAGCCTCTGGGTGCTTTGAGTGTTTTCTTGATTTGTTTCTGGACCCAGGGCTTGGAAAAGCAGACCTTGGTACATACCTAGGTTCTTTCCAAATGCACTGACCCCCAGCAGAGAGAAGCACAAACTGTGGAGTGTGGAAAGCTTCAAACAAGGTACTCAAGGCCAGTCAAAAACAGCATCTAACATTGGCCTGCACCAGAGATCATCCAAAAGAAAAGGAGTCCTAGAAAATCTACCTAATAGATAGAAACAAGTCCAAACAAGCTGCCAAAATGGGGAGACAAAAAAAACAAACAAACAAAAAAAACAAGCCCCAAATGAAACAACAAAAGAATTCTAAAGAAGAGCTAAATGACACGGACATAAGCAATTTATCAGATATAAAGTTCAAAATACTGATCATAAGGATGCTCAACAGGGTGAGAAAAGAAATGGAAACTATGAAGGAAATTAAGAATGACATAGTAGAAATAAAAAATACATTGGAAAGAATAAACAGCACATTAGGGGAACCTGAGATTGGATTAGTGAATTAGAAGACAGGGTAGAAAAAAAATCACACAATCAGAGAACCAAAAGGAAAAAACAGTTAAAAAACAGGACAGCTTAATGGAGCTTTGGGACAACATGAAACCTTACAATATTTGCATGATAGGAGTGCCAGAAGAGGTTGAAAGTAAGCAATGGTGAGAGAATCTGTTTGAAAAATTAATGGCAGAAAACTTTCCTAAGGTGGTGAAAGACAAAGTCATACAAGTTCAGGAGTCACAGAGAGTCCCAAACAAGAAAAACCCAAAGAGGCCCATGCCCAGACACATCATAATTAAAATGCAAGAAATTCAAGAAAAGAGAGAATCTTAAAGACAGCAAGAGAAAAGCAAGCTGCTACCTACAAAGGAGCTCTCAGAAGGCTGGCAGTTGATTTCTCATCAGAAACTCTACAGGCCAGAAGGGAATGGCATGAAGTATTCAAGGTAATGCATAACAAGGATCTGAAACCAAGACTACTCTATCCAGCAAGGTTATCATTCAAAATAGATGGTGAAATAAAGAGCTTCCCAGACAAAAAAAAAAAAAAAAAAAGGCTAAAAAAGTTTATCACCACCAAAACAGCATTGCAAGAAATGTTAAAGGGACTACTGTAATAAGAAGTTGAAATAGAGAAAGAGAGAAACATAGGCATAAAGAATTAAAATGCAATAGATAAGTACCTATCAATAATAACCTTATATGTAAATAGATTAAACGTTCCAATTAAAAAACCTAGAGTAGCTGAATGGATAAGAAAAGATGACAAAAAATATACGCTGACAACAAGAGACCCACCTCAGAACAAAAGACTCAGAGGTTGTAAAAAAAGAAACTTCTGGAGGACTTTAAGGGAGAGATCAACAGCAATACAATCATAGTGGGGTACTTTAACACCCCATTCTCATCAAAGGATAGACCATCCAGACAAAAATAATCAATATGAAAACAGTGACACTATTTTTTTTATTGTTCAAAATATTAAAAATGTCTCCTTTTCTTCCTATTTACCCATTGCACGCTGCCCCACCACTCACCCCAGTCCCTCACCACACCATTGTCTGTGTCTTTGCGTTATGCATATATGCATATAAGTTCTCTGGTTAATCTCTCCCACTCCACCCACTCAACCCTCTCCATCCCTCTGAGATTTGTCAGTCAAATCCATGCTTCCATGTCAGTGAGTCATTTCCGTCCATCATTTTATTAAGTTCTTTATATTACACATAGAAGCGAGATCATGTGATGTTTGTCTTTCTCTGCCTGGCTTATTTCACTTAGCATGATATTTTCCAGGTTCATCTATACTGTCCCAAAGGCTACGAGATCCTTCTTTTTATACCTGCATAGTATTCCACGGTACAAATATCCCACAGCTTTTTTATGTACTCATCTACTGATGGGCACTTGGACTCTTTCCAGATCTTAGCTATTGCACTTGCACTGCTATGAACATAGGGGTGCATAAATTCTGATTA